CGGGCTGGAGCTGCAGGCGGCTGCCGGGGAGGCGGGGCTGGCAGCGACAGTGACGGGCTCTCTCCCCCAGGACAGTGTTTCCTGCTCACCAGCTGGAGGAGCTGGAAAAGGCTTTCAACGAAGCCCACTACCCGGACGTGTACGCCAGGGAAATGCTGGCCATGAAGACGGAGCTGCCCGAGGACAGGATCCAGGTACTGCTGCCCCGCACAGCCCTTTCCTGCTCACCAGCTGGAGGAGCTGGAAAAGGCTTTCAACGAAGCCCACTACCCGGACGTGTACGCCAGGGAAATGCTGGCCATGAAGACGGAGCTGCCCGAGGACAGGATCCAGGTACTGCTGCCCCGCACAGCCCCGATGGCCAGGCCCGGCACAGCGCTGGGCAGGAAGGAGCCTGCTGCTCCCTGGCTGGCCCCGTGGGCAGGCTGCTCCCCTCTCCCTCCCGTGAAGCCCAGGCCAGGTCTCGGCAGGAGTGACCAGGCCAAAGCTTGCTGCCTGTCCTCTGTGGCCCAGCCATCCAACTGGCCACAGCTGGGCCCTGCGCCCTTCTGCACACAGGGGCTGTGTCTAGACTGGCCAGTTTTTCTGGAAAATCAGCCGCTTTTCCAGAAAAACTTGCCAGCTGTCTACACTGGCTGCTTGAATTTCTGCAAAAGCACTGACTTCCTACTGTCTGAAATCAGTGCTTCTTGCGGAAATACTATGCTGCTCCCGTTCAGGCAAAAGTCCTTTTGCGCAAAAGGGCCAGTGTAGACAGCTCAGATTTGTTTTGCGCAAAAAAGCCCCGATGGTGAAAATGGCGATCGGGGCTTTTTTGCGGAAAAGTGTGTCTAGATTGGCATGGACGCTTTTCTGCAAAAAGTGCTTTTGAGGAAAAGTGTCCTGCCAATCTAGACGCTCTGTTCCGAAAATGCTTTTAACGGAAAACTTTTCAGTTGAAAGCATTTCCGGAGAATCATGCCAGTCTAGACGTAGCCAGGGATTTTGCCACTGACTTGCCTAAGAGCAGGAGAGTGGGGCAGGGCCAGGCAGTTCTAAGAGCCCCTTACAAGGAGCTCCCTCTGGGGCAGCAGACATAAGGTTTTGGGGAGCAGGGCCCACTTCCCAAGAGCCCTTGTTTACGCACAATGACTGGGGGAGGGGCATTCCCGGAAACGTGAAAGGTTCCCAGTGCACCCAGCACAGAGGAGATGGCCATGCAGGCGGCTGCCCTTACTTCCTGTTCACTGCCCCCTCTGGGCACACATCTGAGCCCAGATCCCCACCCCGGCCTAGCACTACAGAGCCTGATCAGTCATGGAGTGCGTGTTCTCTTTCTGTGTCTCTCTCAACACCTCCCCCTGCATCACACTCCCTTCGACACATCCCCCGGGCACCCCCTCTCTGGACACCGCCCTAATCTCTCTCTCTCTCTCTCTCACACACACACACACACACACACACACACCCTGGGCACATGCCTGCACTTGCCCCCCCTCCCTCCCCAGGTCTGGTTTCAGAACCGAAGAGCCAAGTGGAGGAAGCGTGAGAAGTGTTGGGGCAGGAGCAGCGTCATGGCAGAGTACGGGCTCTACGGGGCCATGGTGAGGCACTCCATCCCTCTGCCTGAGTCAATCATCAACTCGGCCAAGAGCGGCCTGGTGGGCTCCTGCGCTCCATGGCTGCTTGGTAAGACAGCACACAGCCCCGGGCGGGTCTGGCCTGCTGGGGGACCAGGGCCACTCCCTTTGGTACACATGCCAGTCTTTTCCTGGTGGGGGCGGGGTAAAGGCAATCACACACTCTTCCCTGGCAGTTTTCAGTGGGTGTGGAAGTGCTTTGAAAAGGATGCGCTACAGAGCTGTTTTGGGGGGTGGCCCGTCTGTTGCTGCGCAGTAACAATGGACGGTGCTTAGTGTGCGCTAGGATTTCAGCCCTGAGTCGGGGAAACACCCCTGCACAGATCTGATTGAAAGAAGTGCACATTAGAGTGCAGCACTGGCGTGAGTGCATTCGGAACGGGGGTTTAATCCGGTACGTTCTTGTAGCGTTTTAGAGCGGCAGGGAGGGAACAGAGCCCTAGCTTACCACATACTTACATGCAAATACTATAGACCGCAGGCCCAGAGAGCTCACAATCTACAATGAAACAGCAGGCGAGTGAGGGATCCAGCCCACTGAGGTCAGATGGATACTTTTTGCTGTCTTCGCTGGGCTTTGGATCTGTCCAAGGGAAAGGCTGGACAAACGAGGGGAGAAGAGGAGGAAAGGTCACAGCTGAGCCAGGTGTGACTGAATTAGCAGGCACAGCGCTCTCAGATGTCCCAAGCGGGTTTCAGCAGCACATTATCTATGCGCACTCTTCTTCACTTTTGAAGGGATGCATAAGAAATCCATGGATGTGACAAGGAAGCCTGAGAGCGAGGAGAAGATGCCGGACAGCTGGAGATTGGAAGGTCCTGAGGAGGAATTACAAGTGAGGCCAGCAGAGCACCAGAGAAGCGCTGGTGACAAACTCAGCTCTCTGGACAACTCCGAGGATACCGCGATGGATCTCTCTAGCACAGCAAAGCAAGGGAACAGGAGTGCTTTGAGACAGTGTCTCAAAGGAGACCCCCAGACAGATGGGAAGAACAATGACTACTAAACTCAGGGAGCAAGGGCAGTGCGGGGCGCTAGGAAAACGAGACCCTGGAGCACTTTGGAAAGACAGGGCTATTTATGAGGTATTTTTCAAACAATTAACACAGCATTGTACATGAATCTGAGACCTGTTAAAACCGGATCTAGCCACGATCCCTTCCCCAGCCCTAACGTTACAGCTGTTAGCATGTAACAAACAGAGCTGAGGGGAAGGTTTGGTAATGTTGATGTGAAAATGTGACTGATTCTTGGGCCGCTCTAGTGATACATCGGGAGAACCTCCCTTTCATTCTGTAAGACAAGCAGCTGAAAGACACTTCTGCCAGCTAGCCAGGTGCATGAGCAAGCGTGGAGTTATTTCCTCTGGAACCTGACTGGGCAGGACATAACAGAACCCTTCTTTCAGAAGTTACATTCCAGCGTTTACTATGTGGAACTGGGCAAGCACCAAAGTGGCAATTCTGTGTTTAAAATATGCAACTGTTTGGCCTCGAGAAGAAGTGAAAGCTTTTCTTAAAGACTGGGGATTGGTTTTTCAGCTCTTGTAAGTTGACATCGTGCCATTGATTTCAGGAGAGCCAGGCCAGCTTGCCCCACTTGGAGCTGTGTATCAGTCAATACAGCCTTATAAGCCAATTACACGGTGTATCTGACTTAGACCTTGTCTCTGTGGCTACGTCTAGACTGGAATGATTTTCTGCAAATGCTTTTAACGGAAAAGTTTTCCATTAAAAGCATTTGCAGAAAAGAGCGTCTAGATTGGCACGGACGCTTTTCCGTAAAAGCACTCTTTGCGGAAAAGCGTCCATGCCAATCTAGACAAGCTTTTGCGCAAAACAAATCTGAGCTGTCTACACTGGCCCTTTTGCGCAAAAGGACTTTTGCCCGAATGGGAGCAGCATAGCATTTCCGCGAGAAGCACTGATTTCTTACATGAGATCGTCAGTGTTCTTGCGGAAATTCAAGCGGCCAGTGTAGACAGCTGGCAAGTTTTTCCGCAAAAAACTTGCCAATCTAGACACAGCCTGTATGTGTGTGTGAGGGGGTGAAGTGTGTGTGGGGGGATATTTTATGCAATAATTTTGTATGCTTTTGAATGTTCTTTGATATACTATGCATAAGAGAACTCACACCTTTGTGAAAATCAAGCCATAGTACCCCTAAGAAATGTTTATGCTATTTTGTGAATTGACATAGGAAACTATTTTGTAATGCTTAAATGTCCATAAAACAGTGTTAAATGTCCAATCTGTTTAAAAGCACTTTAGTTATTTGGATTTTCTGAATGTTGCTCTTCCTGTTTTGTCCTTTATTTATTACTAGACGATTTACCCAGACTTGCTTGGATCCTTAACTCAATCAATTTTTGTTTTTTTTTAATAAAATGAAAATGTCCATGCTCCATTGAAATCATTGCTCTGGGGAGGGGCTGGGAGGAGGGGGTCAGCCTGCAGGCTGCCCCGGGGAGAGAGGACAGCCCCAGCCCTCTCTCCCTGCAGCAGCTTGGGGCCAGGTGAGAAGCACCTCTCCATGGCTGCTGCAGCTCCAGCAGGCACAGCTGAGGGAGGGGTGCATGTCCCTGGGCTGGGGTTGGTCCAGGTTTGTCTGCCCCCTGCGCTGCCCAGCCAGAGCAAGGGATGTGGCAAACTGAGCACTTTCCCCTTGCTCCCTAATGAAGGGCAACAGCCAGCAATGTTCCTGTGGGGGGCGGGAGGGGAGCTTTGCCCTCCCTAAAAGGTGCCTGGGGGTTGGGAGGCTCAGGGCTGGGACAGTCCTGCATGGGGGGATGGAGGGGCATGTCCCTAACCAGCCCCTTTCACCTGCCTGGAGTCTGTCTCTTTCCTGTATGGATTTGGGAGCGGCAATCCCATTCCAGGCACATCCCATTTTCCTGCCACAACCAAACCCTGTCCTTGCTTTGTTATGAAGCTGGGTACTGAATTTGGCGGTCCCATCTCTTACCATTTGGGTGGCGTTCTAGCACAGACAAACTCTCTCAAATATATAGTAGATGCATTATTAAATACAAGTTTTGCGTATCTTTGCCTTTCCATCTGTATTTTCCATAGCAGCTCTGCTTGGACGTGTCTCCAGAAAGTGCCATGGCTCTGATGCTGCAAAGAATAATGTATACACGTCTGGGTTTGTGAGCAGTTTTACTGAAATCCATGGAACTATTCCAGAGCAGAAAGTTAAACACATGCTGTGACATAGTGAGGGTATCTTGCTGGTTGCTATGCTGGGCAGTGGGTTGGGAGTGACCTCCACTGGCTGCTGGCTGCAGCACGGCCCAGCAGGGCAGGGGATGAGTCATTATGCAAGGGGGCTTTGAACCTGTCTGACCAGTTATCTCCCAGGGAGCGGAACAATGGGAAGAAGGGGAGTGGAGCCCTGGCTGGGGGCAGGGCTGGAAGGGAGTTAGTTTCTGGCTGGTATCATGGAGGAAGCAGCCTAGGCAACAGGCTGGGAGTTAGGGGCCCAGTCTCTCCCATCTCAAGGGGGGCTGAGGCATCCTAGGCCTGCCCTGGAACCAGCTTACATTTGTGCTGTGCTGTATCCTGGAGAAGCAATAAACTCCCTCCATTCTACTGGCTGGTGGAGTCTGTTCGTGCCATTACGGGGGTGCAGGAGACGGGAAAACCCCAACGCGCCGTCACACACGCATAGGCCTTTGAGAGTTGGAGCCTACACAGGCATGATTAATGTAAGTCATTTTGAAGGTGAATATCATTGGAGATGGGGCTTTCAGAAGTGCCTTAGTGAGAGGCGCCCAGGGTGGGCCTACCATGAGGCGAACTGAGGGGGGTGGGGGTGCCACTAGGACCCAGAGTGTAGAAAATTGTGTCTGCTGCTGGTGTATGTGTATTCTCTCTGCTCTAGATGCACAGAGATGGTGGAGTGCTGTGCTGGAGGAAGGTGGGCACAAGAGACATCACAGGCAGGGGGGGGGATGGGGGCGTCATTTGAGCTCCACGCTTCAGGTGCCAAAATGTTGTGGGCTGGCCCTGGAGGCGCTCAACTCTCATTGAAAGTCACGGGGAGGGAAGGGCCTACTTCGTAATGGGCAGGTATTCCGATATCCTGCCATTCATTATTTTCTACAGGAAACTGCATTGAACTTGCAGGGGATTTGGTGAGCAGATCAATGGCACATAGAGGGCCAATAACTTGCTGTGGTGTTGATATACTGGCCTGTTCCTCATTTAGGGCTGCTCCCCTTCCTGCTGTTTTTAGTGGA